ACCATTCTCCTCATCCCATCAAGCTTTACTTTTATTATTCGTATACTTATGATCCTCTCTCGAGTATTTTCGACTTAATACCCTAACCATGGACAAATTCCTGTGTTTAATTTATATTTTAAGTTGTGACAAATGCTGAGAATTCCACTCTGCATTATAAGTACTACTTTCCGAATTTAAGTAGATTACTATTATTAGACTTTAATGACGACACTTTATCCTGCTTGACCTGTTCTTCTTGCTTTAATCATGATAGTACCGTGTTTCACCGAACTCATCACACCTCATATTAGCCCTAAGTGTATACCAAATGCAGGTATGATGCTTATGAGCTAGGTATGCAAATCAAATTAAACGCTTCCACCGTACATTCCTTAATTATAAGACTAACTAGTATGTAAGAACTGCGACTTGACCAGTTATACAACGTTTGATGTATTAAGACGCTGTCAACGTACGCTGCTTACTTCTATGACGCATTACCTAGAGCTAAGTAGCTACCTTAAACTAGTTTCCGCTGAAGATAATCTATAGCTACTACATGAGTGTGAAACTTAACGTTATCTTTGAAGAACAAAGTAAAAGTGAAAATTCTGATAACTTTCTTGACAAAAAGATCGTCTCCTAGTCGGAAAAAATAAATATATCCTTATCTCCACGAAAGCCTTTAGGCGTATCTATTCTATCACCTCTAATATCTATAGGGTTATAACACTTAGACGTGCGATATTAATCCGAAACACGACGACTACTATTCTCAATCACAACATTCTACTTTGCTACTTAATTGTCTAATCACATCAACAGATGTTTCGCTAAGAAAGAGAACACCATTGGTTCAAGGAAAATTTATTTAACATTTTCTTAAAAATCACGGACATCCGTATTTATACCCACAGAGAAACTACAAACATCCAAAATATAAGGATTTCATTATTTGAACTGAAACAAACAATTTGTATTCAGTCAATATTTTCACCCTTAATAATAATCAGGTTTTCAGCTTGTTGTAACCTCAAGAAAACCACCGATTGTAAACCACAACCCGAAACGTTATTCTTGTTAATTAAAGTCTTACCTTTAACTGGGATAGTTCGTACACTCACCAGATCGTATGTTATCAGCTTTTGTAGTAGTTTTGCAACAAAAACTGAATGGTTGTTAACACTGATTTTACTACAGGCGGTCATAGTTCATGTATTTGGATCTAGTACATTAGGCGTTAACAAGCATAAGTAACACCCTTTGGAGGTTTCTGATTGCTTTGCAGTTCCTTTTTGTTCCCAACAGATTCACACTTCTCGTGTGGTTCAACCTTGTTTGATTTAGACTCTCTCACAATATATCTGGTTTTTCAACTAATAATAGACACGCTGATGGTATACTCATCTTCTAGAAAAAGTTCAAAGCATTTTCAACTTCAAACCAGGTTTTAAATTCTCAAGGTTTAATATGCTCTCCAAAAACCTTGCTAATATCAACTTTGATTGTGCTGTTTTCACCAGACTAACTCGAAGGTGGTTGCATGCTGTAAACGTGAACGTGAAAGACGTTGTTTTTTCCAGATTTCTACATAAAAGGTAATCAATTGAGCCAGCACATATAACCGCAACCAACGAATGAACTGGAAACAATGGCTTCTGCCACCCAAACATGTTCATGTGCATAATTTCCAAAACTTCTACACAGTACTAATTCATTAATAGCTGAAAAACAACGAGAAAACACTGCAACCACACATCAAAGCAACGTATGAAACTATTACAGTGGAGTGGATGAATTGACCTGGTAGTAAAAACTTTCGAAACAAACGAAATAACTAATTTTAACTGCATCGGAAAGAAAAATGAGTTGAAACGCGACATTTGCGAACAATGTGCATCAAGATGAGCTGAGAATAACTGCAGGAAAAACGTGAAAGCCAATGCATAAACGAACGGCCACGGAAATGCGGTTCTACATGGCCCACAAAACATGAACGAAAGCGACCTTCAGGTGCCTAACTCTTCCAATGACCTTGAGCATGCGGGATAATTTCAATCTACAAACCCTCTTTAAATCATCATCGATAAATACACCTTTCGGCAGCAGTAAGTACTGTATTCTCTTTTTACTTGTTCGGCCTGCACATTAAGAGCAGCCAAGCCGTTAGTTTAGTTGGGCCAGGCTGACGAGTCCGCAAGAAATGTGGCTAAAGCTAAGGTCTAGCAGGACTGACAGTTACACATGAATCGAGAGCCATATATCTAGTCGGAAAAAAAAACTAGAAACAGTGTTGCAGCAAGAGGCGGCGTTACCACTGAGCTTTACGGCCTCATTTGAATGGAAAGTAGACGGAGGCTTAGAGATGATTGAAAGCGTCACAAAGAACAGGGAAAAAACAGTCATCTGGCGAAATTCCCAGTGCTGCATTAGAAGCACGGTTGAATGACTATTTACAGTTTCAAATATTATTTTAGCAAAATGTGCGTCAAACCTATGTACATTCTCTAAAACCATGACTTAACTATCCGAAAAAAGATTTCACGTAATTAGTATTATACAGAACAATTTTTCTCTTTATATATGTTCAAACCAAGTTCACTTTTAACGGTTTGTAAATATTTGGGCATTGGGTATATGATATTCATTAACACCAAAAGAAAGTGAAAAAGGAAGGTGTTTACGTACGTCGGTGGCACAGTAGTTAGGACTTTCGCCGACCATGCACATGGTCCAGGGTTCGAGCCTACGCCGGCGCACACCTTCGTATTTATGGTCGGCCTGCGAAATTCGGGCTACCGATATCCATGCTGAAAATTCCATACTTGTACCAAAACATACAGTGTGAAATCAAGCTGTAATCAAAAATAAAATAAATAAACCTTAAATTTCTGAGTATTACGTTAGATGATCATAGTTGATAAGGTTAGGATGTAGGAAGCCAATTGGTTTGGCTGCTTGCATAGATTCGACCTCGCTCATGATTGCCTTCAACCAGAAATAAATTTCACGATCGCTGTATGACCACCTATCCTGCTAGACCTGAGATTCGGCTACACCACCTGCTGGCTCCTTACACTGGCCTACCTAACATGGTGACTAGACTGTTCTTAACACCGCCCGAACTAGTGAAGGGGAAATATAACACCTGAGGCTGCTGAGAGATGTATTTGCACACGACGATATGAAGATAATAAAAATACGATAACCGATCTCTTATCACTCGAAAGTCTAATTGTCCACCATGTGTTTCACTCCGCACAAATAGACAAATTGATCGTTGAGGGTGAAACGGCCAAGGCTCAAGTAACTTGACGAACTTCTTCGATCTCTTACAAGAAAAAGTACTCTTCAGCGTGTAGAGAAACAAATCCGTTACGACATGCAAGTCAATTCGAGTAGCATCCATAGGCACATCCTTTTGAATGCTATTCCAAACCTGAATGAGTATGATTCCGAGAGATTTACAAACATCCCAAACATAGTAAAGCTCAGAATCTGTGTTATTATGATTACCGACTGTGGAAGCAAAGATATCTGCTGGCGATAAAGCCTTGGAAGATGTCATTATGTTGAAAAAATGTTTAGTAAGCCAAATTTACACTTGTACGCGATAGCAGAAATGTGATAGACCCACGAAGGGAGTACTAAGCAGTGGTGGGCGTATACATAAATGCAACCAATCGTTACATGACAGTCAAACTAGGAGAGATAGAGGTGATATTTGATTGGTAATCTGTTGCAATTAACACTTCACTGTGCAGAACCAATACATACGTATACATCTTTTCCATTCATTTGTGTTGCTAGTGGGACATGACTTCAAGCCTTAGGTTTTGAAGTTTTGGCGGCGCCTGCGTTGTTTTTATAAGGGAGTGGGGTTAGTGCCCCTGTTTTCCAAGCTCACAACCAGTTAGGTGTGCGATGGTTGGTCACCATTCATTCTGTCCTTGAACCATCGAGGTGCTCTTACCCACAGTGTTAATTCCTTCTCTATTTTCCACTTGTTATTTCTTCTTTTGTGTTAAAATTTATACTACTTACCTCTAGTAAGTAGTATTTGTTAGTTCTTAACTATCTTTTTTTATTCGCCACTGAGGGTTAACTCACTCGATACATCACTAATCTATTAAATGTACAATAATTATTTTCTTATAGTCAAACATTATTTGTTTTATATACGTAATTGGTTTACCCATTCATATTGAACCCTATCCCGTTATCGTGTCTGTCATTTGCACACTGTTTCAATAAGACGTGGGTCGCCTTTGACGCAGCTCTGCTATTACTACTTATTAAAGCACTTTGACTATGCTTTTTGGTGACATTCAGCCCCAGACACTTCACAGTTGAGTTTTGTATATTATATTTCATGTTCATGTTTAATATAGTACCATATTCTAAACAAATACTATGTTTTCGGATTTAACGCGTCATTCGATGTGTGGTTTCAACAGTGGTTCGGTTATCGTCTCGAATTCCTTTTGGAAGAAGTAAACACACACGGAGTTTATTCTACACCACTGCAGAAAGATAAACAGAATGGAATGAAATGGAATAACTCCATTAAATGCCGAGTAACAACGACTTGGATTTTTCTCTTTTATTACAAAGACGTCTTTAAGTGTACAAATAGAGTAAGCGGAAATTTTTTTGAAAAAAAAGCATGTACTAGTTAAAGAGAGATTGTCAGCAAGGTACATCTTCAAGCAAGTAAAATAAATTGTACATTGAATACAAAGTAGGTTTGATCTTCATTAGGATTGTAATTTATTGATTTCAACCAGTACTGTCCAATACACTTGAGAGAAGAAGTGATAAATGTACAGATCATTATTTTTATACATAAAAAATATATATATATGAAACGTTTTTTAAACGCTTCAAAAAGACACGAAAAGATACATTTAGTACAATAACAGAAATTGGAAACACCTAGATGATATCTTTATCAGTATTAGAAGAACAGTAATTATGGCAACAAAAAAAACAAAAACAAATTTACAATGAACACTTGGTCAATAAGACCAATTACAATCATTTAAAAAAGACCATTTAGTTTCAGTTAATTGGAATAATAAATATGCCCATAAAAATAATCCTAAAAGGTGCGTGACAATTGCTATGATTTGACCTAATAAACCCCAATGATATTTTCCTCTTTCAATAGCACCTATTGGATCTGGTAAACCGAAGAAATTGCACAGGGAATGCGTTACAATACTGGCGGCAATATTACCTACAACAAGAAAATAAAAGAGGCAAATATTACCACATATATCCGGTGTAAAGAACCTCTGTAAACCATTTGGTGATTTAATGGTATACAGAATTTAACATGCCAAAGAGATTCATTATCATGAAAACACTTCATTAAAACGTTCATTAGATCTTTTTAATATACTTGTATCATCATCATTAGTCTCCTGAGTTCCGAGGGGAACACAGAGCCTCAATAGCACACTCCTACTTGGTTTTATTTCCCACTATCCTCTTCATCTATCTAACCATAGTCTCTCACCTTCTCTTCCAACACACACGACCTTCTCCATGTCAACCTCGCACTGATGTCTGTCTGTCTACCTATTTTCGACATAGAACTTTGCACCGATGTGTAACAGTTCAAGTCGCCACACTCACTCCTTGTAGCACACAAAGCAACAGAAGAAAGTACAAGAAAAGCATAATAGAGACAGTGAACAGGGATGAGAGACAAAGGAATAGTAGTAACGAAGAACAAAAGAGTTTCATTGGAAATCATAAGTCACAAGGAGTGGATGCATCTCCACCAGCCACCCATTGAGAACGATTTTGAGCCATGTCACCAATTGTTTCCAACCATTCATTTTTACCGTCCCGAGGACTCCAACCAGTCAGGAAGTCTACACCTTCCTACATGGCTTAGACTAACTGTTGTGGATTCCATTGACTGGTGACATGTTTTAGTTTGACCGCCGCTAGCTTTCTTCAAACCTGAACCTGTGTCAGCTAACATTACCCGTCGAGGAAGGCAATGACCCACTCGTCGCTTCCCATTCGGATTCCAATCGAGCAATGGCCTGAATTGCGCGCGATGTCATTCGACGGTCTCCTCAACGTATCCCAGATCCATCTCTGTTTTCGCCTACATATTTGTTCAGCGATCGACTCTCACCTTCGGTTTGTTCCCAGTCAGCCAGAGTTTCTTGTTGCCAGCTCTTTCTGGCGGGCCGGCTGGCCGGCCGGTCATCTTATTATCTTCAGTATGGAGCCAGGCAGCGAAAGTGACAACTGCTGATAAAAGTCTGCAGTGACCTGTTGGAATTCCTTTTCGCCACACACACACACACACACACAGTGCGAATTTTTGACCCGTATGTATAGACGAGGTGACGGACTTCATATTTGCTTCGAAAATCCTAATCTTGTTCTTTATGCTAGCTGAGTGAAGAGCAGAAAGATTTCCAAATTGGTTTCACGTTGATGAAGCCGTATACTTGACCCTATAAATATTAAGTTTATATCTTTAATCGACACAAATGCTTTGTTCACTAGTGTTCTACTTCACCACAGAGTAGATTTTTCATTTGTGATTACATCACAAGCAGTGGAACAGAAGTCATTTAACCACCTTCCCCTTCATCAGAAGTGGTATATTCACATGTATGGAAAATATCACATTCAGAGCGGAAGGTATGCTGGCGAAATATTACCAGTCGATTGACAAAGTGATACAACTTTATTAAATGATATTCATCCAAATATTCGAGTAACCTCAAAATTTGAATATATGAATGATAATAAAATGAATTTCGTGGATATTTCAATGATTAAGTGAGATGACAAAACAAATTTGGCCATCAATATTATGTAAGCAGATATAGAATGAATATTATGGTCATCTCAGTATAAACCTCCCCCAAGAGGGGGGGAATGTCTATTTCAAGGTCGAATACAATTTACACAGGCGGAAAGATTTTGGTCAACTTTGAAAATGTATATTCTATACCTCAAAAAAGAAATTTTTAATCACTATAACTACGATTAAAGGGTGATGAAATGCTACAAACTCTACTTCACACTGTATCGACAAGTTCACCTGAAGCTGTTGGTCCTTAGAAAGACCATGTTTTTAGAACTGGTCTTTAAATAACATTGAAAATCTGAGAGTAATTAACCGAAACAGAAATTCAACATCAGCCATTTCAAAACGCTTATTAATGTTTGATTACAAAAATCAATATTAATAACTGTTTCTCGAATATGTCACATAACTTTAACTCAAAGTTATTAAAGGTGATGGAGGCACACTTTTGGGATCACCTATCGTATGTATCCTAAATTATCCATACAGAAGTCAATAGAGAGTCAATATTTTCCCAAAATGGACTACTATTTTAAACTATTAAAATACAAGTGGTTATTCAATTGCCTACTATTACCTATGATATTCTTAATTTTGATGGACTGGATTGTGTAGCACACCATGCGTGTGGAGCGAAAGAGAGAAACCCTCTGGACCACCGATAAGAAGACCCTAGGAGATCTGGAATTCGCGCGTGAATGGTTTATGTCTCATGTTGCACACACGCGCGGGAAAAGTAACAAGTTGACAGAAGAAGCAACCAGCGATAACAGGACTTCAAGTGAACATACAGAACACACAGATGATGAAGATAACTAACCCCCCCCCCCAACCACCACCACCACCAACAACAACAACCAGCACCAATCACTATAAACAGAAAAAATTTGAAAGAGGTTACTTCCTTCACTTATCTAGGCACCATTATTGCAACTACAGATGGAGCTGATGTAGACGTCAAAGTCAGAATAAGAAAGACAGAAAAGACGACCCACATCACTCTGAAGTCAGTTTGGAAACCTACTGAACTTAACCAGAAAAAAAGAACAAGATCTAAATTTTCAACACAAATGCGAAGTCATTCAATCAATAAGTTCTTCTATACAGGTCAGAAACTTGGCGGGTGTGTCACGAAAGGGATTTCCAACAAGCCAGTGCAAACTTTTATCAACAGCTACCATCTTAGCTGGCTGGCTCCATACTGAAGATTAAATGGCCAGTCGGTCGGCCAGAAAGAATAAGCAACAAGAAACTCTGGCTGACTGGGAACACACCAACCAAGAGCCGATTGTTCAACAAATATGCAGAGGGAAATGGAGATGGATTCGACAAATGCTAAGGAGAATGTGGAATAACATTGTGCGCCAAACCCTCGAGTAGAACCCGGACGGGAAACGATGGGTGGGGCGTGTTTCCGAGGGTGACATGGAAGAGATCATGCGGGGAAATAATGAGAGAGACTAGGGACAATCGTAAGGCCGGCTAAAGTGGATCATAGAGAATAGGACAAAGTGGAGATGTGCTGTTGAAGCCCTATATCCCCCTCCGAACCGAAGGGAATAATAATAATCTGTTGTTTTATTGCCATTAATGAAATCTAGAATACAGCATATAACATCAAACCTCCTGATGAAACATTCCGGATTAAAATATCAAAGGATTGGAGAATACCAAAACCATTCCCATTACCCAAATAGAGTGAGCTACACATTTTCCCTATTACTTCAATCATCATTTAATTGAATTCTGTGTAAGTACATTAATTTCATAGTTCCATTAAATTATGCATTTTCCATTGATTCATTATGCCAAATCTTGATATCCCGTCTCTATCAACATGTCGGCTTCCAGCACGGATGTATCGACGATATCTGACGACTATTATTATTGTTGTTCCCTTGGGTTCCTAGCGGAACATACGGCTTCAACTGCACGTCTCCACTTGCCACTTCTGTCTTCCTTCTTCTGTATTTTTCACCTCCATCCATCTTAGTCCATACTGTGTCAACTCCTCTCTCTTCACACGATCTCCCCCATGTCACCCTTCGGCACGTCCCACTCGCCGCTTCCATTTCAGCCTGGTCCCACTCGAGCAATGGCCTGACGTGCGCCCGATGTCACCCAGCGGCCTGCCTCCTCAGCGAGCGAGTGTCCAATCCATCTCAACCCACTTTCTCCTGCTTATTTGTTGGTTGGTGATTGGTTCTTGTTTCGTTTATTAATGCTCATGGTTTCTTGTTGGTGATTCTTTCCGGCCCGGCCATCTGATCTTCAGTATAGAGCCAGCGAAGACAGTTGTTGATAGAGGTAACGTCTGCAATAGCCTGTTGGAAATATTCTTTGTCACCCACCCGCCAAGTTTCTGATCCGTATAGAAGAACTGACTGACTTGACGTTGTTTGTATTGAAGATCCGACCGAGTTTTGTTGTTAATTCTGGCTGAGTGACGAAGATTTCCAGATTGGTTGTTTCAGGTTAATGAATGTGTTTCTCGCCTTCCCGATTCTCACTCGATTTGACATCCTCGTCCGTTCCTCCTCTTGTAGTTGAGACAATGCTCCCTAGCTAGATAAGTGAATGAATGAAGTAATCTCTTTCAAATCCCTCCCGTTGATGGTGATTGGCGTTGGATGTTGCTGTTGTTGTTGGTTGGTTGGTTATTTTCATAACTTCCGTCTTGTCTATGTTTACTTGGAGTCCTGTCTTCGCCGGCTGCTTCTTATCTGAAGAATGACATGATGTTATTTCGGTTCATGGTGACTAGCGATGAAATCAAGTACATACATTTCTTCTTTATCTGGAAATGTACATACAATCCCCAGAGGACCCCACCGAGAATCGAACCCAACACCTATTGGTTAAAACGACATAGTGCTATCCACTAGGCTATTTGGTTCATGAGAGACGTCTCTTGTGCAGGCAGTATCAGTTATTATGATTAAACATATATACATATAATAATAACTATCCAGCATATAAAGATACTTTGGCATCTCTATAACTGCTGCAAATGCCTTGTTTTAATAAGCTTTTTTTAGTACGGAATCTAAAATGCCTTACATCCCCAGTACATGAATGCGAATAAAACGTGTTTTAAGAAAAATGAATGCTGAGATTAGAGGTAGTAAACAATTTAAGATTGATTTTACTGAGTAATAGGAGGTGGGGCGGCATAATTATTATTGATATAATTACTCAGAAGTGGCTTTGAAAGTAAAAAAATGTTATAAATTACGTAATACTCAACGGCACAAAGGAAGAAAGTGTTAGAAATTATTTGATAAGGTTAAAATCGTTATTAAATGTGAAGATAGATGATAGTTGAGTGTCGATTTAACAATACATTGTTCATAATCACAACTTTGAAACTCAATTTTCGCGGCCCTTTTCTATGT